CTAGAAAAGTTCAATCGGGCCGTAGGAATGTATGGTGATGCCTCGTTCCAGTTAAAGAGAAGTTGGGCCTATTTGGTTGGGCATCTGTCGGCCTGGGAGTTAATGTAGCTGTTAGGCTACAGTAGCTTTGAAGTAATTATCTTGTTTGTGCCACTGAAAATTATAGATGGCAAGCTCTATGCAATTCCCTTCATGATGAACTGTTTTGAGTAGATTTGCACTATAGCTATCAGGCCTGTGTGGATAGTTCCATTACTAGCTACAATGATTTTAAAGGATTTTACACGAAAAAAGCCAAATATGCATGTTTCTCCTCTCTCCATCACCTGAGGATGCATGTGATTTCAATCATATATATATATATATATATGTTTCTATATATATATATATATGAGATGCACGTGGTTGAATATCATAATTATTTAAATTGATAAAAATAGAGTAAAAATAAAAAAAATAATTTTTTTTGTGGGATTGATCATCAACTCAATTATCTCTCTCTCAAATAAAATATTGTCATTGTTTTCTTCAACCCAGACTGTGGCCACGTGATCTACTATTTGTGAGTTATAAACACATTAATCTAGTATAACATCTCTATTTATTAGTATCTTGAAGTCTTCAAAAGATGGGTGATCATTCAATTCACAAAGGAATTTTTTATATGAATTTACTTGTAATATGTCTGTTAAACTTTTAGTTATAGTTTGACTCATATTCACGTTAACTTTTAGTTGTGATTTCACTCATATTTATATTATAAAATATTCTCATTCAATTTTATACCTCATTCTCTGTACCATAAAAGTAAAACTGAAAATATGAAGAATTATTTTCTTGTGATTAGAGCATGGAGATTATGATATATTTCGCCATGAGCTCTAAATATAAAAATTTCTTTTTTCTTTAATGCAAGGTCCCTATCAAATCTTACCCCAAACGATGTGAATGAAAAATGCTATTATAACTCATTTGCCTAGGACAATTATATTGTATATAAGACATATAACTCATCTGAAATATATACAGCTGCTAAGTGGATTTTGCTGTTGTGAGAACAACATGTTAGAGGCTCGTATTTAAACTTTTTGGCTCTATAAAGACCCAAGAATTTAGAGTGCATAGATTATATATCGTAAAGAACATATTGGTTCATGAAGAATTTTCCCTGATAACGATATTATTATAACAATATTATTATTCAATACTAAATCAATTTTATTATATAAGATTATATGACCATTTTTAATAAATTATAAAGTATATATATGGAAACCTCAATGCTTATAGTCAGTAGGTGGTCTCCACAAAATATGTTAACTTTACATTATAGTTTGCTATTTATAATACTATTGGCATTGTCATTACCTTTCCTCTTTATCTTATTATTCACTCTTTTCTGATGTAAGTTCTCTTTTATTAATCACCTAACTGGCTATATTTAGTTTTTATAATATCAAATGTTAGAATATTTTCTTCTATTTTTAAAATGTTGACATTATTTTCTTAAAAAATATATACACATAGTAGCAACAATATATACTTCAGTTTAACTCAAACATTAGCTTGAAATCATTTAGAGCGAGGTTCTTTCTATGCTAGAATGATGATATAGTGATTACACAGTCCAAAAGTCAAAGAAGAAATTTCTTCAAAGGAAAAGTAATTTAATATGTCAAATTAACAACTAATTTATAAAATATAAATGGGCAGTTCAAATAGCTATAGAAAGTGAGGTGTATATCTTCATAAAAATTTCATAGTGAGTGACCAACTACAATCATTCTAATTTAAGCATAAATAATTATTATTTTAGTTGCTAATTTGATACTCGTAACTATAGAATAAATCTCAAGCAAAAAATAAGAATTGAGGTTGGATTATTCTGTAGGTAAATAATAAAATATTATTAGAGCTCCTATTTATATTAAATTTAAAAGTAATAATTTAAATTATTAAGCGCTAAATATTAGTTCATATGAGAAAGTAAAGTAATTTATGATCTATATACATATATAGTCAATCAATCAAACATATTAAAATTATGATGACCATAGTCAAACTCAGGTGGGTTCACATTAAATATAATTTATAAAAAATAGTATATTAAAGTTAAAATCTTTTTAACCACTATATAGATTGTTTGAAATTTTTTGCATATATAAATTATACTGTCTAGAAATAGTGATGTGCACACTTAACTATGGCCTAATAATCTTAAGAATAACTTATTCTTCAATATTATTATTAATTGAAGTATCTATGCGTTACACTAAAAACATAATAAAAATTTAGAAAACTATAAAATAAACACCCTCAAAAGTTTTAAAAATTATAGAAAAATACCCTAAAATCTTATAATTTATAAATACACAAAACTATTAAATATTACATTAAATTAAAGAATTATAAAAAATCATTAAAAATTTTAAACTTTGGAGGGGTAATTTGCAATGTACTAAATTTCAAATTTAATAGATTTTCAATTAGTTATGTTCTTTTCAAAAATATTATGGATAATATTGAGTATGAAAAGTTTTTCCTAAACCTATACTTTTAAAGAGTGTATGATATTTTTGTAAAATTTTAATTTTCTAGGGGTTGTTAGTAATTTTTCATATTCATTTTAATGTCTATAAATTAGAAATTCTCATGGTGTTTTTTCATAAATTATAAAATTTAGGGGCTTTTTGCAATTTTTAAACTTATGGATCTTTTCTACAGATTGTAAATTATTTTTAGACTATTTATAATTCATATGCTTTTAATTAACTAATGAGTTTAAAATTCTAAGAGTGTTTTTTGTAAAATTTAAATTTTAAGGGTTTGCATATAATTTTTGAAACTTAGGGTTTTTATATAAATTATAAATTATGTAAGGGATATTTGTAATTTTTATATTTTTAATACACTATTAAGTTGGAAATTATCAGTATTTTTATAAATTTTATAATTTCGAGGGTTTTATTTTGAAATTTGTAAAAAGTTCAGTGTGTTTATTGTAAATTTGATAAATTATCAGAGGTTGTTTGTGTTATTTGTAGGTTTTTAGCATGTTTATAGGTTTGAAATTTTTAAGATGTTTTTTATAAATTTTGATTTTTAAGGGTGTTTTTGTAATTTTCAAAACTTATAAGATATTTTCTTTAAAGTCAA